TGTGGTACTTGCTATCCAAGACAAGGAGATTGAAGATTTGTGTTGTTATTACAATATAGCAACAAGAGGTATGTAATCCCTCTTACTATATTTGTTTCGAAATACATAGGTGCATGCTAGGGTTCTTCTTGTGTTCATAAAGTTGTGTATCTAATAGAGAAAACATAGATCCAAATCTAAGGTTGCATGCACACATAGGATCATTATATACCTATAAACACTACTAGAAAAACAGCCTTTTACGACGCTCATTGCGCGTCGTAAAAGGCTCAGACGACGCGCAAATGCGCGTCCAGGAAGGCCCTGTCATAAAAGAGATGACGCGCTTTTGCGCGTCGTCTATAGACGACGCGCATTTACGACGCTCATTTACGACGCGCATTTACCGACGCGCAATGCGTATCAAGGAAGACCCTGTCATAAAGGAAGACGACACGCATTCGCGTGTCATAACCTTACGACGCGCGTGTTAATGACACGCAATGCGTATCAAGAAAGCCCCTGTCAAGAAAGGCCATGTCATAAATGAAGATAACACACATTTTTGCGTATCATAATCTTAAATGTTTAAAAAAATATTATTTATAGATTTACTAATTTTCAAATTAAATAATACATTAAAAATCTCATAATACAAAATAAAATACCATAAATAACAAAGATAATTCATTTCACTAATATGTCAAATACAAATAATTATTCCAATAGTGAGTAAATGTTATAATAAAATGAACTCATTTATATACAATTGCATTATCTAGCTTACTATGTGCCAACAACTCTCTATGTGTTTACTTTTGCTTGAGTCTCGTTTCCTCCAAAGCTTCTAAATCACAAACCTTTTTAAACATACTAGAGACAGGATCCAATCCATGGGGTATTTTTGGAAAATAGTCTGAACATTCTTGACAAATCATCAACCTGCAAGTGAAGGGTAGAAAGGGAAGAAACAAATGTTCACAACCAGTAAGAAATCTAAACACTAGAAGTTTCATAGTGATTGTTGATTCCTATAAACTCAAATGTGAGATGAGAGGCTTGTTCACAACCAGTAAGAAATACTAAGTAGAAAGAAACAAATCAGCACCGTTTTCTGCTTCTGCTGCAAGCAGTAATATGGAGCGTGACCCACGACAGATGAGGCAGTCATCTCCTTGAAAGCTAAATACATATGTTCTCGCAAAACTAACATAAAAAAACAAACAATAATGAGAATAATTTGTGGCATTCATCACCTTTAGTATCCAGCCACAAATCAGGACCAATTCATCCATCAAACACACAATCAGCACTCAGCAAGCCCACTCCACTACCCTCTCCAACAGCAAGTCAAAGTAAGCATCATCCAAGTGTTAGTGCCAAAAAAATCAAAACATTCATTAATTTTAACGTGTTGGGAGGAGAGCAATTAGGTAAAAGGATTGAGAAATTCGTACCCATGCTTATCTTAGCAAACTTGGTTTGGAACACCTGCACAATAAAATATAAATTATCAAAAGACTAAATGACTATCTTACCCTTACATTGAAAAGTCAAAGTGCCAATTTAATATGAAACATGGGTATGATTGTATAAAAAACGGACCTTGAAGCCAGTGTCACCTAGATTGAAGTAGAATCTCTCCTGGTATCCTGGAAAAAAAAACAAGGGACTATTTATTTTAATTAAACTTACATAAAATATAAGAGATTCTTTATGCTGATTATATGTGTAGATAATTAGAAACTTAACTGAAAGCATTTTAAGTCCGGGGAGGGATAATATTAGGTCCATATGTAGGAAAAGTATCTGAAGTACATCACCTGAAATCAATCGACAACCACAACTCGAGCCTGGTCGTGATTATAGCTCAACTGCCACCTTCACATTCCCGTCAGAAGTTTGTTAATCAAATATGATCACTCTTGGACACGGGCATTAAACTTAATAAAGAATAAAATTTTGCTTTCCATTTGCTTTTCTTATTACGACATTATAATTTAAAAATCTTCTACATATCCTTTCTATTTGGATAAAATATGTTATAAATGGTATATATTTTTCAAAGAAAGCACATTGCTATCTGTTGCATTCATTTTTTTATCTCAAGAAATGTCTAGATTTTCATTAATTGGTAAACAAATTTAAGTTTTGTTCAGTTTTTACCTGATTGTACTTGGCTAAGCGCTCTCCACGAGAAGGAGAGCCTGCTTTGATTTGACAAGAGGCAAGACCAACCACCAGGTCAGCAATGAAAGAATCATCTATATCCCCACTTCTCTATGATATCACCACCATAACTTGGAACCATCATAACCGGTCAGCAGATTCATACACATTTGAGAGGTTAAAACATCTTAGAAAACTTCCTCAGGGCATTATGGTCACATAAATGCTATACATCATCTTCCTCAGGCAGTTTCACTGCTGTGTAAATACTGCACCAGCTAGTGCGCCAAGGATGGGAGCTGTAAGGTAGATCCATATGCCTTTGTAGTTATTTGCAGCTATTGCTGGTCCCAAGGTTCTTGCTGAGTTCATTGATGCTCCTGTCAGTGGCCTATATCATTTCAACAAAGGGAAAAATGTGAACAAAGAGGTTACCCCTTTTTTTAAAAAAAAAAAAAAAACTTCTATCAACATACCCAGTTATCAGAATATTAAGAAGGTTCAATTTATACGTACCCATCTATAAGAATATTAAGCATGACAGTTGCCCCCACAGCTATTCCCGCTAGCTCGCCAACCTGTGGTGAAATAAAAATCAGGTTACAGTTATTTGAATAATTGCAAAATTTGTCTATGTTCATGTATATGTAAAATTTCCATAGCCAATTTTATATTAATACTATAAAATAATAAATATATAATATATATATATATTATATATATATATATATATATATATATATATATATATATATTACCCGTGAAGACAGGGGTAGATGGGCGATATACACTTGTTAAGCCTAATTGTCTAGCAGCTGAAGCAGTGGTTTCGCTAATGCATGCAACAGAACCCTCCATGTCCGTGGTTCAGGTAGAAAATCCACCGAAGCACTGTTGCATGATAAAGATTAACAGATTAGAGGTCATTTTTTTGGATTTATTTTTCAGGTTTTATGTTTTTTTGGTTGCATAAAGCAATAAAAATAGCAATGAAAGAAATGGTGTCTTCTTTGAAGTCAAAGTCCATGAAAGCATGAGGAAGATATTTGTTGAATTTCGCAATATATTATAACAAAAAAGTTCGAGAACTTTATATCTAAGAATACAAATTATTGGAGTGTAATGGAGACTGAGAAAACCTCTAAATAAATAATCAGATAAGCTTCGGTTCGGTTAAGCTTTTTAAATTAGGTCATAAAACAAAGCATTGAACTAACCCCAAAAAAAACCTGTGAAACTCCTTCAAAATTTACAAACAAAAAAAATATTTATATTTATATTTAAAAACATGTGAAACTCCAAAAAAAAAAAAAAACAGGTGGCATAATTAATAGAAAATGATCTTACTTTAATTGGATGCACGGCTATTGAAGACAAACTTCAAGAAGGGTAAGAAAGAAGCTGCAGCAACACCTCAACCCCTGCTGCAACAACATTTCCATTAACCCAAGGACAGAAGAAATTATGATGCTTAATTGGATCAAAACTCAACTACTTCTTCAAAGTTGCTTTCCCCATTTGGAGGCCCTAAATACCAAAATATATAAATAAAATAAAAAAGATTAAATGTTCAATCATTTTTATAGAAAAAAGGACTCTAACTAGCCCATTTGCAGGAGGCTCACATGGTTATACATTCATGCTCTTTATGTTACATTTCATAATCTCAGGTTCGTGAAATGGCAATGGTTTCTGCTGTTCAGGAAGCCCAGAAAGATAATCTCAGAAACTTTAGTGACTACATGATGACAGTGTTAGAGGTTAGTTTCTAACACAAAGTCAAAGTTACACTTCAATTCTGTATTCTGATATCTACTAAATTACCCTTTTACCGCCTGTTTAATACTAAATTACCTATTTTTTTTCTATCTGTCAGGATGACTGGCAAAAGGAAAAAAGGGACTTTCTTCACAGCTTGAGCCGCATCTCCAGTTTAGCAAGGACCAATGTAACTGATTCAAGCATTGGGGCTAACCGATCAGGGCCAATATTATCTCTATTTTCTAGTCCTCACATTTCATCTGGTCCTTCTAACATGGAGCTTTTGGCAATAGTTGATAAAAAGGCTGCAACATATGTCCAGGTTGTGAGAAAACTCAATGATGCAAGAAAACGTAGTTTAGAATATAAAGTAAGTCCATCAACTTATCATACTTTTATTACTCGATTTATTTATTAATGTGTATTTTGTTCCATTTTTCAGTCAGCTACTGCTTTTAAGAATGCATATGATCACAATCCTGGCCTGGATTCTTCTAGTGGTAACTCAGTTACCATGAACAAGATCTGGCATCTAATTCAGGTACACATTGTTTTCATATGTAGAAGATTGCTCTTTCAAGCATTTTGTCGATCACTTGGAGTGCATATATGCTCTCTTTTTTCTGACCCATTTACTTTAATTGTACATTTATAACCATCGAAAACAAATGCCAAAATCACATACTTTAAGCATCGATTCATTGTAAAATATAAAATAAAACATCAAACTGAGGTTCAACAAAATAACATTAAGAGAGGGGTAGAGATTTTCGAGATGATCTACAGGGGATGAAGAAATAAAGTTCTTCTGTTCAAAAATAAAAACCAAACAGATTCATCACTCTCAACATTTTAAAGACAAACATCAAGTAGTTAAACACAAATTTTAAACTGAAATTTAATCAATATAATGAAAAATCAGAAAAAACATACTCACAGTAGTAGTCGTGGCGGCCGTAGTTGTCGACTCCGCCATCATAAACTTTTTTGTTGAAGAAATAGGAGATGGTAGAAGCGTCCTTTTCATAGCATAGTAACACCTCCCATTCCTGGGAGAAATAGGAGATCGTAGTTGTCGGCCGTAGTTAAACACAATTTTTGTTGAAGAAAGGAAACTTCAATTAAACGAACAACTTTACCATATTTGGGAGAAAAAATCGGGAATGGGTTACTATTAACGAACCTTAGAGAGTTTATCGCCACCAAGATGATGCAGATGCACGAAAAAAACCAGAATCCTTTTTTCTTGATTGAGAAGATGAAGTTGAGGGATGAATGAGAAGTCGTGTTCCCCTAATTTGCTGAATGGATGAAGAAATAGGACCAAGGCTAGAAGTGCAACTAGACTAGGGTTTGTAAACATGGGGAGTCATTGTAGATGGAGTAAGGTAGAGGTGAAGAGGAGTGAGCGAGGTACTTCAAAATTTTGGGGGATTTTCCATGTTTCTAGTGGTGGCGGCTGCTAGGTTTTACAGAGAGTAGCAGGGGAGAAAATGAAAGAAGATATTACTATTTCAAATGTGTTATGTTTGATTAGGGTTTGCACATAGAAGGAAGTGAAAGTCGATCGGAGAAGAAGGGGTTTGCAGAGAGAAAGAAGGGAGAGAATGAAGTCGATTTGGCGGGTGTAGAGAGTAGAGAGGAAGAGGAAGCGGGTGTTCAAAATTTTGGGGGATTTAGTTTCCCCCCTGAGTCCCAGAAACGCGCGTTTATTAAAATTATAAAGCGACATTTGTAGAGGACGCCCTTTTTATTATAGGTGCCCTCCGTGTTTTTAATATTTTTACATGAGACACTAGTTTAAGGGCACTCAGTAATGCGCGACCTAAATCCTTAAAATTTTTGAAGAGATGACACTTTTTTAATGTCGCTCTCTAATGCGTAACATAAATCAAAGAGCGTCGTGTTTTGCGCGTCGTAAAAGGCCTTTTTTCTAGTAGTGAAAGGAAGCATTTTTCCTTTCACCACATTCATTTGAAACTCTCATTCTTATTTCCTTTCACCACATTTATTTGAAACTCTCATGACTTTTCAATTTCTTTCTAATAATAATTATAATTTGGTAAATTAGGTTAAATAAATATCAAACCTAATGTGTAATCATACATAAACTAAATTTCAATATTAAAATAATATCTTTATTATATTGATAAAATTATGTTTTTTAACTTTTAACATATTATATTTAATTTATTAGTTTTAATATATTTTTGGATGTACACCATTATCATTTTATAATTTTGGAACAATTTATATAAGATTCTTCATGATTAATTTAAATATAACATTACATGGTCAACTTAAATATAAAATTTAGTTTAACTTAAACAACCCAAATAAAATTTTATAAATAGATAAAATTGATAAATTGTAGTGTCTTTATAATAATGATTATAAGTTTGTTAATGAGGTTAAATAAATATCAGACCTAAAGTGTAATCATAAATAGACTAAATTTCAATTTTAAAATAATATATTTTACTTCTATTTATAAACTTTTGTCTTTAAATTTTAACATATTATACTTAATTAATTAGATTTAGAATGTTGTTGTTTGTAACCATTATCAGTTTAGTACTACAACTTTGAATAGTTTGGACAAAAATACTTCAATTTTTAATTTAAATATAACATTACTCAACATAAATTTATAAATTTCAGTGATAAATAGTTAAAAGTGATAAATTATAGTGATAAATACAAAAACTAAATTGTATTATCAATTTAACTAAAATATTTCCTAAAGATATTTTTATAATCATTAAAAGTTTTCAAATAAGTAGCTTAAAATAACTTACAATAACAAAAGTTAAAAATAACTTTATATAAATAAATATTTTGTTACCTTTAAAATAAAAAAATAATGTCTGATGTTTTAAATAATTATGATGATAGAAATTAAAAAGTAAGCAAATAACTTCTAAAAATTAATTAACAATAACAACAACTATAAATAACATTAAACCATATATAATATTTAATGTTATTAATGTGTAACTCGTTGAGAGAAATCACTCAAACGATTGGGATTATAAAGTTATAATATATATATATATATATATATATATATATATATATATATATATATATATATATATATATATATATATATATATTATATATATATATATAATCATATAATTCAAAATAATCAATATATTATATCAATTTAGTATGAGAATTATTATATCAAATTTAACAACAACGTTATTGTTATATTAAAAAAAACATATATTTGTAAAGACTTCAACTATATAAGTGTTTCCATGTATTACAATGTCAACTCAAATATAAATTTCAGTTCTATTTAAAAAACCAAATAATATTTTGTAAATAGTTAAAAGTGATAAATGCAAAAACTAAATTTTAATCTCAAATTAACTAAAGTATTTCCGAAATATATTTTTATAATCATTAAAAGTTTCGAATAAGTAGTTTAAAATAACTTAAAATAACAATAGTTAAAAATAACTCTATATAAATGATTATATTGTTAGGTTTAAAATAGAAAAACAATATTTGATGTTTTAAATAATTATAATGATAGTATTTAAGACATTAAGCAAACAAATTTTAAAAAATAAATTAACTAACATTAAATCATATATTATATATAATTTTATTCGTGTGTAACTCACGGATATAAGTCATTCAACCAATTGAGATTATGAAGTTATAATAGATGTATATATTATCATATAATTCAAAATAGTCAATATATTATATATCAATTTAGTATACAAGTTATTATATCAAATTTAACAACGTTATTTAAATATTAAAAAAAACATATATTTGTAAAACTTCAACTTTATAGGTTTTCTGCGCAACGCGCAAGCATTCGCCTAGTTGTTTGTATAAAACCCATCAAAATTTTCATCTTCAAAAAGTGTGGTGCATAAAACCTTCAAAGCAAAACATATCAATGTAGGAAAGCATACGCCACATTTGTAACAAAGAGTAGATTAAAATGTCATATTTTACCACTCACAACATGATTAGTGAAGCCCACGACGTGAGTATGGTATAATATAATATTGACTACGTTATGTAATCCAGCTCACGACGTGAGATGTAAAGGCTCACGTCGTGAAAACTGGGTCTTCACATGTTGCAGATTTGCAGAAAGTCTTCTTTTGAAATAGAATGCAATTGATCTCTTAATGGATTAAGACTCTTCTAAGACCCTTATTTTTCTGGAACCCTTTCTTTTCTCTAATATCTCTTTGCACATGAAATTCACCCCACACTAATAAGAGATTATGGGCTTCGACTCGTTCCTCTAAAACAAACGGTTCTCTCGTTCGCTCTCGTCTTTTTATTTTCTTCTATTGATACTCTAACAATTCTGCGACCAAAACAAACATTTGGTGGAAAGTAGAAAACAAACATCACATAATTTAGTTACAAGTTTTAAAACATACAAAATAAAAATAAAAACTCACAAAATAAAACACACCAAAATAACAAAGAAAATAAAATGACTAAAAATAAAATGGATAAAATTATTTTTCATCTCCGTCGTCTCTCGCTCCCCTGGTCTTTGCGTTATCCCCTTGTCACGACCAATACTCGCTCCACGAAGGACAAATAAGGTATTGATTTCCCAAATTAGATGGTTTCTCAATGTTAAAGTGTTGAATCATGTTCTCCATAGTACCACCTTACAATTCATGTTCATGCTCATTCTGTTAAGAGACGGTCCTCCTCCCATGGGAGCATTTTGTTGCACCAGTCGACCTCTAACACCTCTCCCTCGCACATTCCTTCTTCCTCTTTGTCTTGGTTGTTCCTCGTGATTATTTAATGGTTCTTCTTTGTCTTCCGTGGGTATCACATATCCCTGTAACACCCCGGATTCCAAGGTATTATTTTT